AGAACTACGAGATCTCGAGTTCAAATTCCAATAGAGATAAAAACACTAACATCATTTCTTCCCATCTATCCTATCCTTAGTCCATACAGTTACCTAGCACATGTTACTGGTGGCAGGGGCGGAGGTAAGTGGGGGTTCGTGGATTCGGCCAACCTAGTAGCTTTTCCGTAGACCCTATATTTGTACTAAAAAATTAAGTAATAACTTGTCAACTTCTAACAAAACTGATTAACAACTCAATGGTAAGGAAGGGGAAGGAAATTTAGAACTCCCAACCTCCTACTATTGGCTCCGCCTCTGACGGGTGGGAAGTGCCAGATATCCTGTGGAACAGTAGTGTAACTAGAAGCACGATACAGGTTCAATGGAACTCACTGGCTTTTGCTCAAACAGTGTATTTGTGTTAAAAATTCATTGATATGGACAAATATTAGATTTAGAACCAACAATTATCACTTGAAGTCATCAATTCCAAAATTTAGAACCCATAAAGCTAAAATATTAGCTCTGTCTCTACTATGGAACATATGCACGCAAACTGTCCTAGACACCACACTTATTTTTACTAGAGAAGTACAAATAACATGTTTAGATCTCAATTCCGAATCCATAAAGTTCAAATCATGGATCTTCCTCTGCAGGTAGTAATCCCCTTACTTTATCAGATGATTATCATCAATCTCAAAAATAGTACACATCTAAATTATTACTTGTAATAAGTAATACTATTAAATACAGTGAAAATATTGGAAAATTATTAGCAGAAGTTATTAGAAAAGTCTACCTGATAGGAATGATGCCTGATATAAAGAAAAAGAATGAAGAAGGCAAAATAGCAGCAAGATAGACCCTTCAATGCTTCATTTGACAAGTCACGATCAAACAAAATACATTATTGTGACTTTAATTTTGGTAGGTGTTTGATTGACCAATAAATATTTTTTTTTTAAAAAAAGGAGGAAATGGTCAAATATAATTTATTAAAATTAAACAAGTAGACATACGTGTTCTACACGATATATTACGTGTAGGACGCCACGTAGGACACAAAATTGTCATGTAGGATGAATTTGTCTATTGTTCAATTTTATATAAGTTTAAGTATCTACTTGTGCACACCCAAAGTTAAAGATCATAATTACCCGTTGAAGTCAAGTTAAGGGTCATGTTTATGTATTATGCTTATTTAGTATAAGAGAACTTTTATTTTTGTTGCTTCAAACATTTGATGTTTGAAATCCACTGTTTCGATCAATTCAACTTTACACTCAAAGAATATTCGCTATAGAGGTTTAGTGCTCCTTATCAAAAGAGAATAGCCCGGTATCTACTGATTTTGCCATTCCTATGATTCAAAGGATTCACCAGCTATAAGGCAGTTAGCGCAGACATCAAGTAAGGGCTCGTAGGCTACTCATGCCAAATGAACATTTTATTTCCTAAATTCGTACTTAAAATCTCTGGTTAAGAATGAAAGTAACCTTTACCATTTCATTACAACATTTTTTTTTTGGTTGGTATTATTAGATAAATTAATGGCATTAGTTTAAGCACTTAGAGACCAATGAACATTTCCTTAATTTCCTCAAAAAACAGTTACAATTTCCTCCTTTTAAATTGACATTTTCCAACTTTTTAATGACCAAATTAACAAAGAAAATCAATCAAACTCCCTCCCCAACCAAATCTTTTTTTAACAAAAAATGGACAGAACAAGAAGATCAATTCTTGTATTATCTGTCCTAATATTCTTGGTTTGTTCTTCTATTCTTGTTCAGGCCCAAACACAAAAGCCCAATGTAAAAGTGGCAGGCCCAGATCCAACAAAAGCCCATGTGGAATCAAGGCCCAAACAAGAAGCAGTAGAAATATACCATGAAAATGATGATGCTGGGGTTGATGCTCTTAATAGAGATTTCTATGAGACTCAACAATTTGGTACAGATTTTGTTGCTGGTCATTAATTAAGTGGCGAAATCATCAATTTCGTTAAGAATGTCCGAGATTTAAATATATATATTTATAATTAAAACAAATCTCGAGCAATGTTTTTTCTTTTATGTACACAATATAATTGTGATTCCTATAATTGTCTGATAATGGATGTTCAATTTAGATGCGGCATAATAAAATCGGTGGCCTAAAGCAATTTTTAATGGAGAGTGTTATCTTTTATGCTCAATATTTATAAAATAAAAATTAACTTATAAATTTATTATAGATAAAAAAAAGGGGCTTCATCCTTCATTTACTAAAAATCTTCCGTTTGAGTCTCAGAATAAAAAACTTTAATTCGCCTTGCGTGTATCAAAATCGAATTACATAAAAAAAAAGGTTCATTGCGAGAAGTTTTATCAAGCTCCTTGAAATAGTTAACTCTAGGGCAATGATATAGTTTTCTAGTTGATGTTGCATATAAGACTTGATAGTATATGCGAGAACATAATCAATAGAGCATTTCCATTTTCCATGAAAATCAAACCAATGAAAAATTAAGTTAATTGATTTAATTTGATTCCACCATTAAAAATATAAAGTCCAACCAAACCTGGACACACCTTGATATATATGCGGTTTACCAAGATATATCGATGATAATTAAACTAGATAATGGTGAATAACTAAAGGACTCAAAGATAAATTATTTTTAAAAAGAAATAGATTTATAGAGTTATGCATAAGAAAATTTCACTTTTAAAGTATTTTGAAAGCTTGATAACTTCGAATTCATGTTAAAAAAGTCTAAAATATTTTTGAACTATTGAATTTGGTACAAAAATTTTCTTCGTTAATCTTTCTGTTTTAAAATACCCTCGACGTTAACCTATTGATCCTAAAATACCCTTCTTTTTTATGAATATAATTAAAAATCTCATTTATTACATATATAACACAATTTCATTGGTGTGTTTTATACTTAACCTAAACTAATTAAATTCCAATTCAAATACGAATCCATCTAATTTTAGGAAATCGTACACTTCCTAAAATTAAATCTATCTACTAGTTTTGATATTCGAAGGATTTCGAATCCGATTGTAATTCTTTTTAAAAGTTGTAAGTTGTTGAATATAATCAATTATGAATTAAATTTGGTTTGTCCTAATCTGATTTGGTTAATTTAGTGAATAAGATGAGAAATAAAGTTTGAAGCAAATTATTGAACTCCATTTATGAAGCCAAATAATTTCTCATCTCAATTTCAAATTTGGAGAGCTGAAGTCTGTAGAGTTAAAATCATTTTGAAAATCATTTATTGTACTTAATTTTAAATTTAATTATTACTTTGAGAATATATTTAAAGGAAAACTAAAATCACCATTGGAGAATTTAAAAAAGCTTTCAAAAACACCAAATCTATGACAATATAAGGTTTTTTCTCTTTAGTTTAATGGGATTTTTAGGTGGGGCGGATATTAGGTGGATTCGAGTTTGTGTTGATATTTAATTAGTTTAAGTTAGTTGCAAAATACACCAAAAAATCATGTCAAGTAATAAATAAGTTTTAATTATATTTTTAATTCTGACCATAAAAAAGAAGGTATTTTAGAATCAATAGGTTAACGTCAAAGACATTGAAGAGCTGAAAGGTTAACGAATGATATTTTTGTACCAATTTCGATAGTTTAAGAATATTTTAGTCCCCATTTCGTAAAAAGAAATTAATGTACTTTAAGAGTAAAACACTTCCTATCAAAGGCCACTAAGAATACGATACTAGTCAACTACTACAATTTATTTATACTATTGCTCAATCTTAAATTAGTTAAAATCAAGGGAATATGCACAAGTACCCCCTTCGACTATACGTGAAATCCCAATGACACACTTTAACTATACATGAGACCTATTACCCCCCTGAATTATTTTTAAGTGTAATAAACGCACCTTTTCGTACTGAGGTGGCACAAAGAGTGCTCTCTTAGAGGCATGTGAGATACGGAAAAAATGTATTAAAATTTGATTAATATGGGCACATGTTCATTTTTAATTGGACATTTAATTAATTAGTAGAGATAGTTAATTAACTTTAAAACTTAAATTGATATTTTTTTAAAAATTAAATTTCTTTTTTTCTTTATGAAATAGAGTCAAATTTTATCATTTTTCACAACATATTTAAATTGCATATTAGGAATTTAATTTAGGCAACATATAAAGAGCATAATTTAAATTAAAGTATTTTTTAAAAAAAAATTATAAATAAATAATTTAATTACCATCCCCTCCTCAATTATCCATGTCATATCCCTACCCCTATCCCCAGCCCTCCCCCCTGCCCCCCCCCCCCCCCCCCCGCCCCCCTCTTTAGTTCTCCACAACCTCCATGCCGCTTCAGTTCTCCATCAATAACACCTCCCTCCTTCTCTTCCCTTCTCACTTCAATTAGCCTTTATCTTAACCCAAATTGAATCAGAAAAAAATGATCCCAATTTTAAATTCTTCTCGAAATAGAGTTCAAAATTTAGGTAGTTTCTTCAATGGAGATTTTGGACCATGTTTTATGAAATTTATTTGAATTATTTGGATTGAAAGAAAAATAAAATTGATAGTAGATATTGAATCTTGTGGTAGTGAAGAGATAAATTTGGTGGTGGGTTATAATTTTCATGGTGATTGCTATAAGTTTTAATGGTTAAAATAAGTGGATTTAGTGGTTATGGAGTGGGTGTTGATAATGAAGAAGAAGGAATCAAATGACATGGAATTTTATATTTTTTTTATAGATCTGATCATTTATTGACGTGGCGCTAATATAATGATGACTTGGAGGCAAGTGTAAAACACCTCCCATCATGTGAGTGACTATATAGGTTTTAGGCTGTGTTAAGGGTGTGTTTATTGCAATTGAAAATAATTCAGGGGTAATAAGATTCATGTATAGTTAAGGTGTCGCTAGAATTTCGCGTATAGTTAAAGGGGGTACTTGTGCATTTTTCCTAAAATCAACTAAATAGATCAGGTAAGAGTAAATGACATAATTTTGTGAACAAGCAAACTCAAGAACCAGCTCAACTTGCATTACAAATGAATAGTGCAGAATATATCGTCAAATATGATTCCACGATCCACCATTGTTTCAATCTACTATGTATAAGAATGTGATATACAACACAGAAAAAATGCCCAAATACAACATACCATAAAGAATGTCTTCATCCTTCTACACAAAACAAATGCATCAATTTTACATATGGTACAAGTCCTCCCCTAGGCAATGGAGGTTTCAAGGAAAGACTTGGCAAGCCACAATAATCCTGGATCATTCCTTTTGAGGACCAAATAAGCTTCCGTTCTACCAGTGTTGTCGATAATAGCGTCTTCACTGAATCCAATCACAGACAGGATCTCCATTGCAGCTGCAACCACAGAGGAGGGCAAAGGTTAATGAATATTAACAGCTAAGGTTGCCCAGCAAGCATGCAAAGAGAAGGAGAAGAAGCACCCAATGATCAAGAAGCATATAATTTTGACGAGTACGAGTAAATTTCACATCAAAAGATAAACAATACGTGATAATTATGTTGATACAATTCCTTTGTGTTGCATGTTCATGGGATCACCAAATACGTTTTGAACCTCTGCAAATAACATCTATAACGAGTACTACCATGCAAATACTTCACCCGAATAGAATTTCAAAATGATAATAAACCTAGCCTTGGTCAATTAAACCAGCTTGTCTATCAACTTGATCATTGACTTATTTTCCAGAGATCTTTTACCAAAATGTTAGGCTCATGGAAAGACGATGGCAATTCACGCATGCCCTTAAACATAGAATTAGGGCTTGAGTGAAAAATTTATGCTTCAGTAATTAGCGAAGTGGTAAATTGTTCTTGCAAAATTGGAAGCAATCAGCAACATTTGCAAAATTGAAAGCACAATTTCACAAGTGTGATTTACAAGCGCCACCTGATAAAGAGAAGAAGAGCTTTATTTAAGATGTATCGATTTAAGGAAGGTGGACCAAGGGTATCTCAAATGAAGAGAAAATTTAGCTGTGTTGGATTGGTAACAGCGTTGAAAGCTCTCTGAAGGCAACATGAAAGTAGGGGATGGGGAAAGAGAACTGTTGGGGAAGGAATTTTGCAGAAAGGAAATAAATTGCAATAGATCGAGTAGAAGAACATGTACCTGAATAATTCACCACATCCCTCTGAATTAGAGGATTAGCCTGCAATATCCACCAATCAATTGTGATGAACAAATTAAGATGAAATCTAGACAAAACTAAATCACCTAAGACAATCATAATAAATTGCACACCTTCCGCAGCTTTCTGAATTTCACTTCATCTGGGTGTTCAATTGCATTCCTACAAACAGTTGCATTGCCAACTTAAATCCAAAGCTCATGAATGACAAAAAAATTCCAAATCTAAATGGCAGATTCATGTTTGACATACCTTGTGATTTTCAATATAGTTTGCACTACCCTAGAGACCTCCAAGGGAGTAGCTTGAGATCTCAACACACCTATTGCTTTCTGCAGTCGACTGCAAATGATTGCAACAGGATCTTGTATCCTCTGCAATTCCTGGTCATCTGGGTCAGGCTCATCAATCACTATACTAGAGACTCCGTCTGGTATTATATCCTTATCATTAGTACATGGCTCTACCAGTTTAATTCCTTCAGGAAAATCATCTTGATTGGTGTGTGTAAAAGATCCTCTCTCTTCCTCATTTACATGGTGCCCCAATGAAACAAGGCTATATTGACCATCTGTTACTTTCTTTTCGATCCCCACAGTGCGCTCATCAGGATCAGGTTCCAAAGAAGTAGGAGATGCTGTATTGTGTTTTTCTGCAGAGCAATCATCCGGGTCAGGTTCTTCACTTAATTTAGCTTCCAAAGGAGGCGGAAGGCTTCTCATCTTATGATCATCAGAATCAAGTTCCATATGAGGCTCATGTTTCATGGGAGAGCCAGTCCCGCAATCATCAGGATCAGGTTCAGATTCTCTTTGATCATCAAATGGGACATCAACACTAACTACTTTCACATCATTCAGTTGGTTTTCCACTAGAGCATCTATATGATTGGATTGCAGTGAATCACCAGCATTAGATGCCTGATGCATATCAATTGCTTCTGAGGGGTTGGTGGATGCCTGTGCTAAACGGCTGTAGGCAGCAACCACTGAAGATGCTCGAGCATTGAAAACTGAAGTTTGTCCTCCAAGCTTATGTGATAACCCAATTAGATTATCGTTGTCCTCATCGTCTTCATAGTGCTGCAAATTGTGACCACTCACGGTATGACCTCTTGATTTAGTCCAGTCCAACTTAGCAGCCTCTTCATTAAGCTGCAAGAAAGATCTACTCTTAATAACTTCTGCACATTTACCAAGAATATTGCAGAGATAAACAGGACTAATTGAGTTTAGGGGCTCAAAAAGGACCGTCCCAGTCTTTTGATTAAACATTTCTTGAACATCTTGCCACCTCAAGGAAGCCAAGAATGGAAAAAGAGATTAAATAACCTTTTACCTGCTTAAGAAGAGCATAGAAGTTCACATCATGTTCAGAATGTACCATGTGTGACTGAAAATGGAAATAATATAAGTTAGAGGCACATCAGAATTCATCATGAAACTCAAAAGCACGAACTTAGATTTTCAAATATTTTTAAGTTGGACAACAAAGAGTGAGACAGGACCACCCACAAGTTCATGCAAGAGTGTCTTCTTGATGCTATCATACTTCCTGAAACCCTTGAGGTCGTCTGTACGAAGACGTAGTGATATCTCCTCACCGTGATTCTGAATATGATCAATAGAAAATTATCAAGATAATTTTAAATGGTAAATGAAAAAATTATCATCTTAGAAAATCAAAAAGTATAACTCCCTATGTCCCATTTTATGTGGCACCCTTTCCTTTTTAGTCCGTCCCAAAAAGAATGTCACCTTACTATAATTAGAAACAATTTAACTTAAAAATTTCCCTTTTACCCTTGATGAAATGAATCTCAACCATACAAATATCTAAGGACTTTTTTAGACCACAAATTTCAAAAGTCTTACCTTTTTTCTTTAACACCGTGCCAAGTCAAAGGGTGTCACATAAAATGGGACAAAGGGAGTAGCAAAAGTCGAGGAACTAAGATGATGAAGCATGACAGTCATGGATTCAATATTGAGAACAAGATTCTGTTATGTATCTACTCCTTTGGGGAGAAAGAAAGGGATTGCTCACCTTATTGAAGCCAAGAATGCATTCAGGACTAACACCAACATAGCCTTCTGGTGCCATCTCTGTCATGATACCCACACGCCAGTGATGCTTCAAGAAGTCCAATGAACGATAGTTTACCACAACTGATAGCACACAGCAACAAAGTAATCCATATGTAATTAAGCTGAGATATGAAAAATCTTGCCAGGCTTACCTTATTCATGATTGCAACAATTCCTGGATCAGCAGCAAGCTTGTGCATTAGTTTTAAAGCTTTTGAAGCAGGAGGATTCAACTGAAACCAAGTGAAGACTACATAAATTGGTTGTCAAATAAACCTTCCTAGGCCCCCGGCCTCCGGTCCCAAAAGAGGGAATATGTCTATATATTTTTGCAAGTAATCCACATAGGTTAGAAACATTATTTTACTCATTCGTCCGACTGCATTTTTAAGCTTTAACTGTAGAGAATGAAAGTGGTTACAGTTTCCCAGAGTTGGCTATACCTCTATACCAGGAAGGTGGAGTGTCCGAAAATCACAAAAGACATAAGGCCCTTGTGGAAGTTTTAGTGAACTTTGAATCCCATTTGAGTTTCTTTGTCTCGATCTCTTTTCCTCTTCATCAAAACCCACAATCCTGAGGTCTGCCTTTGCACTCTGTAGAATGTCATCTACTTCATCTTTGGGCACTCCCAACATCCTAATAGACTTCCCCTGAAACAGAAAAACATCAGGTGATTCCCATCTATGCCAAAAGGAATTGTTTGGAAGGTTCAGCTTAACGAGTCATAGCCAAGTATGCTAAACAAGTTATATAGACTAATACAATGATTGGAAATGCATGAATACCTAATACAATATGCAGGGTCGTCTCAACAAGTTTGGGGGCCTAAAGCCAAACATTATAAAGAGGTCCTATTTTTTTAGTTGATAAATATAAATTGAATAATTATAGTATACTAGTGTAATTCTACAAATGAGGTCTGCAGAAGCAGGATATGTGTAGACATTATGAAGTAAGAATGCAAATAATGTTAATTTTCAATGAAAATTATATAATATAAAGTTGGAATAATACATGACTCAAAAATTAAAAAATATGATGATATTAAAATAGTGTAGCAATAAATTTGATAAGTTAATAAATAATATTAAAATAGTGTTGATTAGTTTTAGTGCTTGAAATTTGAATAAGACACCAAAAACAAATTTGATATTTTTATAAACACACAACAATACATAATGTAGAATGTATGAACGTTTGAGAGACTTCAAAATATTCAATAATGAAAGAAGGGATAAGGCACAAGTACCCCCTAAACTATGACCGAAATTCCAGAGACACACCTTAACTAAACTAAGGTCCTATTACCCCCTGAACTCATTTAATATATAATATTGTACACCTTATGGCTTATGTGGCACACCTCGTGACTCCATGCAGTTGAGGCGCGTGAGTTCGGGGGTAATAGGACCTTAGTTTAGTTAAGGTGCATCTCTGGGATTTGGGTCATAGTCTAGGGAGGTACTTCTACCTTTTCCCATGAAAGAATAAAAAATAGTGGAAGGAGAATAAAGAAAAGTTGGTATAAGAACACAATACCGTTGGTTCATGATAATCGTCAAAATATAAATGAGCTAGACAACAAAATAGATAGCCACATGCGAAACTAGAAAGGATACTACAATTAACTAGCCACATAAGAATCTAGAAAAGACACTACAATCAACTAAACTATATTCAATTTCTCAATTATATTTTCTATACAAAAAATAATTTTCAAATTTGTCAATACATGAAATTTTTTTTAACAAAATATATATATCTTTGAGAGAAAATGGAGGCCCAAAAAAATTGAGACCCCAAGCGATTGCTTTAGTGGCCTTATGGTTGAGATCGCCCCGACAATATGTGAAAGAAGTAAATAGAAGGTGTATTTCAGAATGCAAGTGCACTCAAACCTTTAAAGCTGCTAAAATGTATTTTTCACGACGTGCCTTCGGCAAAACTAACTTAGGGCTACAACTCCTTCAAGTTAGATTCTGAAGGCGAATCCTAATTCCAAGAGTGGGAAATATTACATGATTTTTACGATATTTATCAAGCTATCTCCCTAAAAATAAAGCGTCATGTTGTGATGGTTTAGCAGAACAATCAGCAATAATGTATAAAAACAAAAAAAAACAAAAACCTGTCAAAACAAAGAGCTAAAGAATAAAATTTCAGAAGCCCTGTCTAGAATCAAGCAGTAGCAAGTCCAACAGCTATTTAGTATATATAATTCATAAACTAGAGCATAAACTAATTAAAAAAAGACCTCAAGAATGGATGCTGCCTCCAATTTTAGGTATGAATGCTCTTCAGAGAAAGGATACAAAAGTCTTGAACTTTTATTAGTAGGCACAATGAGGCGCATTGTATCATCTCTAACATTGGTGAGATTCAGCAATTCATCCCCCAGTGATTTGAGAGTAGCAGCTGGATCCATCTCCAGACTGAACTTCTTTCCTCTCCATATAACAGATAATTGACATGTCTCCTGTTGCTGCATGGATTTCTTTATCTAATAATAGCATACAAGTAAGCCATCATCAAACACACAATTTTAGCGAGTCTTAAATAAGGGAACCACAAGTATCATCCAATTAGTTTTTCTTTTAAACTATATACTCTTTTGATGAATTGCATTCTGAGCCACAAACAGTATTTAGAATCCTATCTATAGAAGCTTGATGAAGGCTGTGTTTTTTTGGCATGTAAACTAAAATCTAGTCAGCTAAGGATAAGGAATGAAGGTAAGTTCAACCAAATGCATTTCTAGAAACATCTCTTAATAATGCTTCGGAACACCAGAATCCAGGTTCCATAATGAACTAAGTTCAAGTCACCCGCTGAGCTTTTTTTTTTTGCTGGTTGATAAGTAAAGGTTTCAATTAAACTTGTACCAAGCTGGTACAGAAGAAAATACATGCAATACTACAACACTCCCACCAGTCATACTACATGCCCCCCTAAAAGGTAAAGAAAATCCAAATACCGATCCATCCTATTTCTACCAAGAGTACAGCTATAACAACTTCTGTCGGGAAAAAAACTGAAAATCAACGGCTCAACAGAAACAGGAGCATTCCTATCGATATGGTCAAGTGAGAATTCAGTTTTCTCCATCAAGAAATTTCAGCACACATTTCTTTGATCTCCAGATGTAAAAAAATTGTAAGATAGTATTGTGTTAAAGTTGAGATTCAGGTCACCTCTAGAATTACAGAACCTCTAATTTGGTTTAGGAGAGAACTATTAAGAGGATTCATATAGACAACACCAACCAGATGTGGGGTCGAAGTGTAGTTGATTGATAGATTTCTCTGATCTCCAGTGAACGTGAGTATGCTATTCATGCAAATTGGCACTATGAAGAAGTTAGTTTTCTCCCTCCCTTCATAAATCTGTAATGCTTAAATGAAATTTTCGTCTTGTTAAACAAGCTATCTCCTTCAAACATCCACACACTACTATCTGTTGCAAACACCCAAAAAACTTAATTGCTTTTTTGGCAGCAACTATCTCTACTCTTGGAATTAGCCGACTATTCTGGATATTCCCTCTTTAAGCTAAAATATCAAAAATTAAACTGAAAAAACACCTAATAGATAACAGTGTAGTTATCAATCATCATTAACTACAGCTCAACCTCAAAACTAGTACTAGTTGATACTTGAATCGACTATACGAATCATTCCACTTTATTTTCAGTATACATAAGTATTATTCATCAATTTTAATTTTTTTTCATATTCCTCACCAAACTAACATAATTCTCCTCCTTTATCAAGCTTGGACCAATTTTCATTTTTCAAAAAAGTTGTATTCGGTCTAGCTTGCACACCTCGACTAATTATTGCTACCTACTAACTCTATCTCTATCCACAAAGCTTAAACATATGAAAAACAAATCATCAAATATTTTTGACTATATATTGGAATTTGAACCTGAAACCTAGTGATTCTCCGGCTACTTCATTTGACCAGTGGCGTGGCTCAATTAAAGCCGATGACTAAGTATTTTGCATCCAAACAACACGGAATCAACCGGAATAAACCTCTATAGTCCGAAACGTAGAACAGATTTGTTCCTAAAAATTACTAACTGCAAATTTACATAAAAAATTGAGAAAATTCTTACCTTTTTTGACCTCTGGAGATTGATGATGATCGGTGATCTATGAGAATAATTGATTGCAAAATTCGCAAAAAAGGGACAATTTTTTTCAAATTTGGGGAAAAAATGAACGGAAGGATGCGAAGAACCAGGGGCGGTACAATTTAGAAATTTATGCAGGATGGATTTTAACGTGACCGGTGTGTGTTTGTTTTGGTGTACGTAAGTGCTGGCGTAAATTCACGCGCGAAAGATCTAGAATTTACGGCTATGTCACTCGTGACTCGACTATTCTGGCTCAAGGCGGAAGCTGCGGTTCGAGCCCCGTTAGTCTCGACGGATTCAATAAATATATCAATTTATTTTTTTTATTTCTGTGAAAGGGGAACATGAACATAATTTCAATTCTAACAAAATATTTTTTTTCTTGTTTATTTCGTACTTTTCATCAACTTATTTACCCCTCAAATTCAGATTTTTAGATGTGGATTCTAATTATATTAGCTATCATACATCTAGTGAGAAGAAAAGAATTAATTGGGAGACTACCAAAGATTGTGATGGAGCGTGAATTGTAAGCTATGTTGCTCGAACACTTCAAAAATATTAACGGACAAATACTTTATTTTTTTTTATGTATTTATTTATCTTTTAAATTTTGAATTATTTTAGTAAAAAAATATAATTCTACCTTTCGGAGTAAAAAGATTTCTTTCACAAGCAACTTGATAAGTTGTGTTTAAAAAATAATTATTGCATAAAGGTGTAGGAGAACGAGAAATGAAGGGCGAGATTACGAGGTCGAAAAATTAACCACGCTCATTAACAAAGTAAAAATTCAAATAGTCAATCAGATAATTAGTTGCTTGATAACGCTAGCAAACTACAATTGTTTCATGATTGCTAAAGACAAATCAAGTTACACTAGCATTGTTGATTTTAGGACAAAAATCGCGGAATGATTATAGCTGGTGGTGAGATAAATTTTAAAAACATGTTCACCGAAAATGTATATGCTTATATTCATTCAAAATTAAAAAACATAGATATCATCTTAAATCAAACTAAAGAACACGTTTAAATATTATACGAATCCAAAGGTTTGTATCTTAGATCCATTTAGTAAAAATATCTATTGTGTACCCCTTTCAAAGATCCACAATTATTACTTCTACCGGTATCTATAAATATCAACCTATAGCAATCAATTTCATCCCAAATTTAGCCTAAAATTTTTCCCATTGCGATGCTTCACTCACAAACACACTGGACAAAATCCAGAAAAACCCACTTTAAATCTTGAATTTTACTCATCTGGGTAGTTGTTAATTCTGTGATTTGATCAAATTATGAGGAAGAGGGAGAGGGAAAACCCATGTGGTGTTTGTGGGCATTATCACAAATACGAAGAAGGTGAAGTTTGTGGGATCTGTGGACATCGAATGCCTGATGTATCTGAAAAGGGTTCTTCAATTCATGTCAGTGCGTTTCCTTCTGAGATCTTGCCGGAGTTTCTTTTTCTAGGGAGTTATGATAATGCTTCTCGTGCTGAGCTTCTCAAAACCGTTGGAATTTCTCGGATTCTGAATGTTTGTAACCCTTTCCCCTTAATTTTATCTGTTTGCTATTACTCTCTCCGTTCTCCATTTGTTTGACCTATTTTGATTGGCATGAAATTGATTGAGTTGCTTTTGAGTGAAATGAAACTAAAATAGAACTGAATGAATGAAGAAGGTTCATCTAAAAAATCCTAAGTAATTTGTGGTTTGAGTGGAGGAGCTAGGATTTTGAGTTTATGGGTCGTGGATTCTAAAAAAAATTGAGCTTTTAGACAAATTATTTATTATTAAATCAAATGATCTTTTAAGTACACCTACAACTTTACAAGAGTTTTTTTTTCCACCTTTGCTCCCTTGGTGACTCAAACTCACAACTTTAAAGTTGGAAGTGAAGAGTGCTCTTGTCACAAGGATTTAGGTCTGCTTTGTGGCATGTTAAAGTATGGTTTTTTGGTCCATAACTCTTTAAAATAAAATTGGGGGTAAGGGAAGGAGAAATGGGTAAGGGGATTACAAGGTAGGGAATCGAACCTCACCAATAAGGTGAAAATTTAGGTAGCAACCAACCGATATACTAAGATTCCCCTTTTGGTCCATAACTAATGAAATGAAAGGTACAGATAACCTAAATCGATTAACATATAATTCAAAGTTTCTATCAATATCCATCAAGTAATACTTATTGGTTACCCCTCCAAAATCCACAATTACTTCTTCTACCAGTATCTAGCAACCCATAGAAGTCAATTTCAATCCTTCGGGGTGACCTAGTGGTTTGGGCTTGGAACTTCCATGTTGGAGGTCTCAAGTTCGAAACCCCTTGCCAGCAAAAGCAAGGGGTTTGCCTTTGGGTCGAGCTCATTGCACCGGGTTTGCCTTTTGGGTCGAGCTCATTGCACTGGGTTTGCCTAGTGCGGGTTACCTCTCCTGTGTGGTTTGCGAGCTATTGCATACCAAAGGGGATTTTACCCTGTGCGCACCCAAAGGGTGACATTAATGCAAATGTACACTCAGCTTAAATGAAGTACCAACTAGTTTTTAGTGTCAATAAAATTTGTTCCTGATCTACTTCATTCAGTTATCAGACACAGTTACCTATTGAAGAAAATGCTAAAATTGCAGAAAATAACCAATCATTTATCTGTTTAGCTAAGCATAGATACATTTTGAATACCAGCCTTTTCTCTAGGAAAGGAAAGACGGATATTTCTCTTTGCAATCTTATATTGTTTTTCACTTTTTTAAAAAAGAAGCATATAATATGTGACTCTTAGCCGGAAAAGGAAGGATGGAAATGTGAGAGTGACATGGAAGCAACTTATGATACTTATCTAGGAAAAGAAAAACAAGAAATAAAGGAATCAACCAGCTTATGGCTTCATCAAATTTGATATCTTGGTCAAGTGATTGGTATTTGGAATTCAACTTCATGTATTTCCCCTATTTATTTGAAATGATAAGCCCAACACCAATTTCCACACTAGGAACCCAACATGGCTTTTCTCCACTTCATTTTCTTGGTGACTCGAACCCCTACATCGTGGTTGGAGGGCCCTTATCACTAGGCAGTCTCTCCCTTGCCATTATTGATTGGGGGTGTTGATTATCTATCAAGCATTACAAGTTAATAAAGGAGGTGGTGACATTTGTAGTTCCATCTTTTTTTTACATATGATGGGTGTTTGATTATCTATCAAGCATTACAAGTTAATAAAGCAGATGGTGACATTTGTAGTTCCATCTTTTTTTACATATGATGGGTGTTCCAGGTCAACTTGTGCGTACCTTGATTATTCAACCGAGTACCTGCATTCTCCCTCCAGTCAATACCAGGTAATAGTACCCACTAAGGCTTAGCACATACGAAGGAATCAAGTAGCTTTTTCCCTCTGCTGAATCCAAACCCTGTTCACACCCTGGGTACAAAGTTCACAAATCTTTAGGGGAAACTTAGCAATGGATTAATTGTATCCTATATCAAGTAGGATCTAATCAGGATTGTTTATATTCTCAACTGACCTGAACTATGATCCATTGGCTATACAATGCAATACATTGTTCTCTAAGTTTATATCCTTAGATGTAACTGAAAGATGTATAATTATAAGAAGATATTTACGATCTAGAACAAACTGAAATTCAGTTCTTCACTTGGTATTCTAATGTTCACTTGTAGTTGGTCTTAAAGTTTGTATAGTTGGAAGCATGGTTTGGCTCTTCAAAATGGATGAAATGGTAGGAGAGACAATTATGTAGAATGTCGATAATAACTGACCTGAAATGGGCTTTCTGCTGCCAAACTCTTGTCATTCTTCAGGATAAACCTGGGTGATTAGGGGATGGGTTTCAAATATTTAGCTAAATGATACTCTAGTCTCTACTTTTGTGTAAAGCATGTATAGTGGGGGCTTTACCCCTATAAATTGATATAATCTTTACCTTGTCAAAAAAATTCTTCTAGATTAATGATACTGTATAAGATGAAAGGAACAAAGAATAGTAATTAGTAACACAAGAAGTAACACGGTAGAGGGATAGAGCTATGCAATAAGAGCATTTAAGTTTTTTGCAAGATAAGTGAGAGTGGTCTCAGTAACAACATTCATTTATTTTCTTTCTATATCCATTTGTATGGTATTTTGCCTCCTTCATATGAACTTGGATAAACAAACTACATATATGTACTTTTGGCTCCATATAACCGTAGTGGACACAACATATTTTTCTGTTGCATCATGTTGGATGGTTTTTATTTTTCTTTCTGGTACTTCAGAAATTATTGAATGACACTTCAATGTGTTCTATGTGGCCCATGTTCTTGATTGTTGATACTGGGTATTCACTTATGTTTTTCTCCTATGTGCAGACAGTACCTGCTTGTCAGAATCTTTATAAAAATTCCTTTACTTATCACTGCCTACAAGATGAGCAAAATTTGGCTTTTGATGACGCTATCCAATTTTTAGGTGAGTAACATTCTCTTTACTTTGTTTTACCTAATTCCTCTAAGCTTGATTAAGAGATCCATGGAACCTTTCTCTCTGCATAGTTCTTTAGTATGGTCAACTATTTACTGCTACAATGCTTTAAAGGTACCTAGTTGATTGAAAAATATAGAATGAAGATTGAATTATGTGAATAAACTAATAATCTATAGATCGACTATGCGTCAATACCAAACAAGTGGCGGTCATTTTTATGTTTTCATCCACTGCTTTGCCTCTTTCATTCACCTTCCATCTGCCTTTGAATGTACAAATTGTTGAAGATATTATTGAGTAATTAAAAGTGTTTTCTCTCTAGCAGCTTAGGCTTTTACATGAGATAGTCGCACAACTTAAACGTGGTATCAGAGCAGGCAAAGGTACTGAGTTTGAGTCTCACCATCACCTATTTATAAAAATGGAATTTCTAAGTGTTTGTCCTGTGAAAAAGAATTAGGCCCACACGTAAGGAGACATGTTGAAAACTTAATTAAGTAATTAAAAGTGTGCTCTCTAAGAACTTGAGCTTTTAGATTAGATTGCCGCACAACCTTATCACAAATACTGTTGCGAGTTAAACATGTATATACTAGGTGTAGTTAACTACCTGGACTCTTGTCATTCTTTATTTGGAGATTCAATGGTAGCTTTATTTAGTTGAATGTTGAGCCATCTAGTAGTTGATTGTTACAGATTTGTTTCCCACAGGTTCACCTGGAAAGACAACCTTTTTTTTTTTTTAAAAAAAGAACATTATAGTAAGTTTTACTTTACATGTATTGATACATGCATTTCATATCTTTCAACTCAACACTCCGTTTACATGTCTCTTGCTGTTGTGAAGGAAAGTCATTACTAAAGAGGATACCATTGGGCATCGACATTGATTGCTACAGTTGAAAATCATGCTTATGACCTCAAGCTTGTTCTCAGTGATTTCTCATGTTTTGTGGGAGGCATTATGCTGGCTAATCTTAGAATATTTCTTTTGTGCAGAACAATGTGAAAAGGATAGGGCTCGTGTTCTTGTGCACTGCATGTTAGGTAAAAACAGGTAGGAGTTGATTATCAATTTTGCACTTAAACCTTTTTACAGTTTCCCTTAACTATTCTTTCTTTCATGTTTGTGCTTTATCCTGCTCTCCTCCATTCTCTTTGTTCTTGCGCAAGCAGTTTTCCCCAATTAAGGTGTAAATGTGAAACTTGTGTTCTTTTCTTCAGCTTCCTTTCAGGGACTTGGTAACATTTAGTGCTGCTACTCGATATTTTCTGGACTGCCTTTCAACTGATTGTACTTGCAGAAACCACCATGTTGGTCTACTTAAGGTTTTTATATGTAGAATTCATAGACGTGCTTTTTTGATAGGTCGGCAGCAATTGTAATTGCTTATTTGATGAAAAGTAAAGGGTGGAACCTTGCACAGAGCCTTCAGTGGACGAAAGAGCGAAGACCTTCTGTTGACCTAACTCAAGGTCACACTGCTATCTTTATAAGGATTTCTTCTCCTACTTTTTTCAGTTGAAAAGCTATAATATTAAGTTTGTAATTCTACATTTCAGAGAAATGCAAATATTTGAGATGACCAACCCTGGTATGTGCATAGTTGAAGAGGTCGGGTAGTTAATCTTGATTTTGGATACTACTATCATATAAAAAAATAGGGATGGAAAAAAACTGCACAGCATTGCTGCATCGTTGGCGGAATATACTGTGACCAAGCTAATAGAGATCACTCATTCTGAGTACAAGCATAGTGACTTCTAGATTTAAAAGCTCAGAACCCATTAACCTTTGTGTGAGTGAGTTGCAAGTTTGGCATATTAGTCACTTAGTAATAAAAATGTTTCAATCTTCCTTTTTTTCCTTTAATTTCAGTTAGATTTTTAGTTTTAAAGCAAAAAAGCAAAGCAAGTTCCAGTTTGATTACCAGAACTCTGCTAACATTGAGTCACACAGCTTGTCTCTCTTCACTTGGGTTGTGACTGCTCTTTGAAACTGATCTTAATAAGAAAGTTTACTCGTAGCTTTGCGTCTGTATGAGACTCCTTTTTGTTTATATTTGCAGAGGTCTACCAGCAGCTACAGGAGTACGAGCAGAAGATCTTTGTGTCACTTCAGAACCAGCCCAGCCCCATCATGCCAGCCTTCTCTTCTCCCGTGACATCCTTCAACTTTGGCTTCCCAAAGGCCAGTGATCAGATTCCTGCTCCAGCCTTCAACAATTCTAGTGCTCCTTCACTTTTCTCCCCTCCTGCTTTTGAAGTTCCTCCACAGGGATTCACTTTTGGAGCTGCTCATAATCAACATACCGCCTCAGAAAGCCCTTTGAATGCTAATAAAAATCCAAATGGTAGTGACATTGCCATGGATGGTTCATGATACTATGACATCTTTAGCCTTGCGAAAAATCCTCAACTTCAACAAGTATTTAAGAAGGTTATGCCAGTCGCTGATGCCAATCTACCACGTTTTTCAGAAGGTTGGATGTGAAGTGTGTGAAAATGCTTATAAAATCACTAGTTGTAGAGTTTGACATGCTCATATCTTACGGTGCCATCAAAATGGATTCGTTGTTCAGGAAATCCAAGTAATTATTGCCTAATATATATGCGATACTAAAGACTGTTTTCACTTGATCTCTTACAAACTAGATCTTCTGTAGCAACTGACTGTTATATTATGGGAAAGGTAGGTGAGAGTTTTTGACAAGAAATGGTTTTCGTTTATATCCGAGTTAAGCAGTTGCCTTGCATGTTTGTGTTCAACTATAGTTTAACATTGTGAATGCTAATGACCATTGATGGTGTCATTCCAAAAACCAAACTTTCTTTAGTTGAATCCCAGGCTAAGTTTACATTAATAGACTTTAGGTTGAGAACCATGAGATTTTAGGTTCAAATCCTAGCGAAAGTAAAAACACTTGGTGGGGTATCTTCTCATCTATCCATACCTTGATGTATAGAGTTATTCGGAACTTGTGTTGGTGGTAAGTAGTAGTATCTCGTAGAATTAATCAAGATGCATGCAAGGTGACTCAAAGGCCCCACATGATAAAAAGAAGCTAATGTTGTGACACTTTAAGGTTCCGTGAAGATCTACAATAGATAGAAGGGCATTATGTTCATAGAGATACATGCATGACTAATTGAGGTACACGTAAGTTGACTCGGACACCATGATTAAAAAAAAGGAAGCTAAGGCATAATCAAGATTTAAACTTTATAAATTTATCTTTTTGATTTGGACTTTTTTAGTAAAATTTAACACACATGTAGGAATTAGGATATGAACTAAAAATTATTGAGTTCGGATTGACCTGTACCATATATACCTTCTTCTTCTTCTTCAAAAGTTGGGATTTTTTTTCTCCATGTTGCTAAAAAGAATATGGTATAATGGCATCTATGTTTATAATCACATAGTAGGCAACTATAAGAAAGTAATTGCTTTATTGAGGACCCATATTTTCTCAAAGGAAAATTCTACCATTCAGTGTGGAGTATGCATAGGATGATCTCAACAAGAAAAAGCACAAGTTAGGAGAACCACACACATGCCATTCATCCACAAAAGATCAAAAGAACTTCTCAAGCTTCAACACTAATGAAACAACCAAGTGGTACTACCACTGCCGCGGATTGTGGTGGAATGAATAAGATTCTTTTCCTGATTCTTAATCAGAAATTCCGAATTTGAACAATGGGAATAAAACAAGTGTTCCTTTAATGGGCCTAATGAAGTGCGCATCCTGATTAATCAGGACCCAAAAACTAATCCAGAATAAATCATCAACTGGATGATAGATCAAGAATAAACACTTTTTTTGCGAAAAGGGAGTCCTCATCGTCATGACAATTGACAAGGATCGATTCCTTTAGGTTCCTGACATCAGGTGAGAATTTTTTTAAAAAAAGTGATACTACAAGAATTGGCGTCTGAACCACACATGATATTCCTCTTCAAGAATAATTTATTTGATTTTCATTAAAAAAAAATTGGCATTGCAAACAAATGTATTTGAAGAATATTTATATCTAAACAATTATGTAGTGGCTCATTTAATATCCTTCTTAGTTAACTTATACACTTTCATGTGTTGCAGATTTTGCATGGTTTAGGTATTTATAGTATGTTATGAGGTGTAAATATACTAATCATTTTAGTATAAAAGATTATCATAAGATAATACTAATTACTTAATATGTTAGTTTCAAAAGTATTTTTGAAGAATAGCAATTTGTATTTGATTAATCAATTTGAAAAACACTTTTATTAATATTATAGAACACAAAAAAATGTTTTTGACCAAAGTCCCAAAAGTGCTTCTTGGGAAAATTACTTTCGGGTTTTAAGAAAAACAACTTTTGATCCTAGATTTTTAACTTCTGAATCACAATATTTTTTCTTAGTTCTAGATAGATTATTCTATATATAATTTGTTTTAACCAAACACAAAAACTTAGCGAGAGCTATTGAATTCTATCGAACCATTAATTATAATTGTGGCTCCGTCATACCTCAAAAATCTTTTTTTCTTTTTAAAAGCTTATTCAAATTAAAATCACAACCCTTTAAAATAAATATTTTTGACTTCACAATAGTCTATTAGTCATGGATTAGATAATCTACAATTATTAGCTGGTTATAAATTAGTTTAATTTTCATATCATATAATTAGAAGATTCACATGAATGCTCACCACGTTCAACACAACATATCCCTTCATTTCTTTTCCTTTTTTACTTGTTGTTTTTTCTTTTTCCTTTCCTTCCTTTTGGTATTATCTCATATACTCTAGGATCGGTTCGATAATAAATTACACCGTATATATAAAATATTTTAATTTTTTTATGTACATATATAGATTTTGAATTCTTTGAATATAAGATTAAACGTTGACTCAATGGTTGAGATTTCTGAATTCAAATTCAAAACACTTCATTTTTATTTTTCAAAACTTCTTAATCAAAATTATAAATCCGCCGCTAACTCTACACGTGTATGGATGTGAGTGGCTAATGCCTTAGTGTTGGTCACGTTTGTACATTGTAAAATTTCAAAAAATTGTTAGGCTGAGAGGAATACAAGGAGTCCCTCTCATTCTTCAACACAAATTGAACTCCAATAACCAAAATCAATTTAGAGAGGAAAAAAAAAAGAAAAAAAATTTCCAACTAATTTTTTCAACTAACTTTTCTCTCTCTCCCTTCAACCAAAAACTTCTCATCAATCTTGAATCCAAAAAAAATAAATTACATTTTTACGATCTTTTTTTTTCAAGATTTCAAGAAGTTAACAATCCTAGTGCCTCCAAATCTTGTGTTTTGTTCTGTTTGTTGATCATAATCGCGTTTTTTTTAGTTGCGAATGTGATCATTTTGGTGTTTGAATCAAGAAAACCACGCATTAAATCGAAGTTTTGAAAAAGAGAAGGTAAATAATGCCAAGCAAGTTAAAGAAGGCAATTGGTGCAGTAAAAGATCAAACAAGCATTAGTCTTGCAAAAGTTTCAAGCAATACTTCTTCAACTCTTGAAGTTGCTGTCCTAAAAGCCACAACACATGATGATGTACCTATCGATGATCGATACGTTCAAGAAGTCATCAAACTTGTGTCATCCAACAAGGCCTACGCGGCTGCCTGTGCTCGTGCCATTGGCAAACGCATAGGCAGAACGAGGAACTGGATCGTTGCCCTCAAATCGTTGATGCTTGTCTTAAGAATCTTCCAAGATGGTGATCCTTACTTCCCTCGAGAGATCCTTCATGCTATGAAACGTGGAGCCAAGATTCTTAATCTTTCTAGTTTTCGCGATGATTCAAATTCTAGTCCTTGGGATTTCACAGCATTTGTTCGTACATTTGCTTTGTATCTTGATGAACGTCTGGATTGTTTCCTTACTGGAAAGCTTCAAAGAAGATACAATAATCGCGAAAGAGAGAATTCAAGTAGCCATATTTATAGGTCTACTGGTAGTAGTCGAAGAAGGGGTGATGAACCTGTTCGTGACATGAAACCAGTAATGCTGCTTGACAAGATATCGTATTGGCAACGATTGATTGAAAGAGCAATAGCTACAAGACCAACAGGAGCAGCTAAGACAAATCGTCTTGTCCAAATCGCGTTGTATGCTGTTGTAACAGAGAGTTTTGATCTTTACAAAGATATCTCAGATGGTCTTGCACTTGTTCTTGATAGCTTCTTCCATTTACCATATCAATCATGTGTAAACGCCTTCCAAACTTGTGTCAAAGCTGCTAAACAATTCGAGGAGATCAGTGCATTTTACTCTGTCTGTAAAACCATAGGCGTTGGCAGGACATCTGAATATCCAAGTGTGCAAACAATCTCAGAGGAATTGATCGAAACGTTGCAAGAGTTCCTCAAGGATCAATCTTCATTTCCAGCTCATACCCAAAGCAAACCACATTTGCTTCTTCCAGGCACCGGTGGTGGTTCCTCAAGGACCACGAGCAGCAAACGTGATAGTTATGGTTGTCAATCTGACTTTTCTATGACCACAGGCACGACTGAGCCATACTTGGAGAAGAGTACTAATACTTGTGTTGATTCGCGTTGCACATCATTAGAAGATCTTATAAGTGCAACAGAAACATGGAAGAGTCCAGCTAATATTTCGATTGACTTGGAGGCCCATTCGGATATTCAATTTGAGAAGCAGTTGCATGAAAAGGATGACACGGGGTCTACTCATTCGTTGCCTGTATCAAACTCCATGGCTGATCTTGTATCCTTACCAGATTTGCAAGAATATGATGAAGACGACGAGAAAAAACAAGAAGCTGAACTTGAACAACACCAGAAACAGAATCCATCATTAGATTCTACTAGTTCAGCTAAAGGATGGGAACTCGTGTTAACTGAGGCAATCCCATCAACGTCCTTCAACGCGTTCCCTGAGCAACAAAAACCGGATCATTTGTCAGGAAACGAAATGAGAGGGATGACAACACCATCAGCATCTTTCAACGTGTTCCCTGAACAAGGACAAGAAAATGTACCTACAAATGAAGCAGAGGTTTCTTCAAGCAATGGATGGGAACTCGTACTGTTCGAAAACATTCCACAAACACAATCAACACAACCCGTTGTCCCTAGTACCACGAACAACAACAACAACAACGTTAACAGCTTCAGTTTCGCCACTTTGGATGACTTGTACAATCAGAATCAAACGCCATTTTATCCGAATAATAGCCAAAACTCACATTTCACCCATAGTACAAACAACTTTTTGTATGATCAAACTCCAGAGCCTCAACACTACAATCCATTTCTACAAGACACATCAATGGAGTTGGCTATGGTACCGGTCACGAGTGCACCTGCTCCGTACCCAACTCTGACCACGAATTCTTCGTTTTCATTTCCAACGTCTACTGACATGTTCACATCATCAGCACCAGCACCAGCACCTACATTTCAAGCAACTCCAACTTTTAATGCTCAGAATCACACTACAGGGCCAATGCAGAGTACTAATATGGATGACCCGTTCGCGACATTTTCGAGTAGTGATCAGATGTTTAATGGCATCAAGAATGAGCAGAATTTGATGCAAGAACAACAATTATGGTTGCAGAACCAAAACAAAATCATAGCTAAACATAGAGCTTGATTTATACACGTGTGTTAAATGAATAAATCTTGTTGTTATGTTTTACAAAATTGATTTTGTGTT